GCAGGCATGAAGGACGGAGGGGAGGAAGGCGAAGGCAAGAGCCAATGGGCAGCACGGGCCGCGAAAAGCAGCCTCGAGAGACCGACTCGATCCAGGGGCGCAGCAGGCAGATGGGGCAGAGAGGAGACCAGACGAACGCGCACCGCACGAGAGGTGGGACCTGCAGGACGCGTCGGCGGAACGACAGAAAGAGAGGGCGGGGGGCATGGGGGAGGGGTGGAGGGAGACGCGCGGGAAGCGGGGGGCCGCGGGAAGAGCGGGAGGGCGACGGGATCACGCGCGCGCCCTGGAAGAAGCGCGGAGCTGAGGGCGAACGACAAAAGGGGGGCCGGCTCAGGGGGCACGGGGGAAAACATCGACCCGGGATCGGCGACACGTCGCCGACAGATCGGCGCCGTGCCCCCGAGGGCGACACCGCACGGCCCAGGGCGGGGTGGGCCCTCGGGCCCTCGTCGGCGACGAGTGGGCGCTTGGGGGGTCGATGCAATCTCCCCCTGAGCCTACGCCCGTCCCCGGTGGCGTCTGGGTCAGGACCTGGGCCTCCGGCGGCCGTTAAGGGGCGATCCGGGCGCCCCGGCCGCCCTCGGCGGGCGCAGCCGCTGGTCCTCCTCCTCGCCCTCCTCCTCCTCGCCATCCTCCCTCCTCCTCCTCTTCCTCCTTCTCCTCCCTCCTCCCTCCCTCCTCCTCCTCCTCCTCCTCCTCCTCCTCCTCCTCCTCCTCCTCCTCTCCTCCTCCCCTCCTCCTCCTCCTCCTCCTCCTCCTCCTCCTCCTCCTCTTCGCCCTCCTCCTCCTCCTCCTCCTCCTCCTCCTTCTCCTCCTCCTCCTCCTCCACCTCGAATCTCGAACCGCCCCCTGACGATGCTGGGGCCGCTGCTGGAGGAGGCCAGACGCCTTCGCTCTCCCGCGCGGCTGCGCTGGCAGCTGCAAGGATCCTTCCGCGCGCCGAGGTACACTTCGAGCCTATGGGTGCTGGACCCCCCCCCCTGAGGCCATCCGCTCCCTAACGATGCCCCTGAGGACTTTCTGGTTTGGCTGCTGTTTTCTGGCAGCCGCCCCGGGGCGGCCTTTGCGCTCTGGGTCGTCGCTGCGCGTGCGCAGCGCCTCTGATTACCAAGTGGCTTACGCCATCCCGCCGACCCCCAGCGGAGCAGAGACATCCAGGGCGTTCGGCAGGCTATTGGAGCTGGAGTGGCTGGTTTATGTTTTATTCGCCCACGAGGCTGGAGGAGGAGGAGGTGAAAAGGATTACCGTCCTCAGCTCAGAAGGCTGGAGGAGAAGGAGGAGGAGGAGGAGGGCCAGTGTAAACCCAAAAGTCATCAACGCTGTTGGAATAAACTCTCCCTCCAAGCTCCCTCTTCAGTGGCCCCCACAAGGGTTCATTTCAACTGGCGGGACTGCCTCGTTGGAAGGCAACCGTTTGAAGAGCCTGAAGCGTGCCACAACAATATTCTCCTGACTCTAACGCCACGGATCAACCTGACTGTTGCGTCTTGACGATCCTGAATCGTGCCAGATAGCCATCCCTGGGAATTCAACACCGCGGGTCAAAGTAATGGTTGCACCCTCATCATCCCGAATCTTTCCAACGACCATTTCTGGTACGTTGACCGTGGGAATCCGTGAAAGTCTTGCAAACTGTCAAAACGAATGTGCGCGGCTCTAAAGCGAGAACCACTTTTTGAAACATATCCGCCCTCAATCAGTGAAACAAACGAATGTGCGCGGCGCTAAAGCGAGAACCACATATTGAAAACCATCCGACCTCAATCCGTGAAACTCTTGCAAATTACTATAACGAGTGTGCGCCTCGCTATTGCGAGAACAACATTTTGAAAACCACCCGCCCTCAATCCGTGAAGCTCTTGCAGACTTTTAAAACACATGTGCGCGGCGCTACGGCAGGAGCCACATTGTGAAAACGGCCCGCCCTCCATCTGTGAAGCCGTCGACAATGTTTAAACTTCAGGGTCATAACTAATGAGGGTGTCTCAGGCGAAACGCCCGGACCGCCCTTTCGACCGGCGTCGGGGTGCGAAAGGGAGAAATTATTTTTAAGGAAAAGAATAGAGGAGGAGGTGGAGGAGGAGGAGGAGGAGGAGGAGAAGGATGAGGAGGAGGAGGAGGAGGCTTATGAGGCCAATGCTGACGACGAGGGGCGCCGATCGACGAGGCACCAAGCCTAAGGAAACGGCGGAGGAGGAGGAGGAGGAGGAGGAGGAGGAGGAGGAGCAGGAGCAGGAGCAGGAGGATGAGGAGGAGGAGGAGGAGGAAGAGAAGGAGGAGGACGAGGAGGAGGACCTAGACCCTAGACCCCCGAAGTCATGATTTGTTCGCAACGTCGACCCCCAGAGGTCTCGACCCACTCCCTGGGACCGGTTTTTCAAGGCCCGGTATGGGCCCCCAGAAGCCGAAAATACTGGAAAACCTTCTGTCCTGATTTTTGTCACGACGCGAAGGGGTTCTGCGGGACGGGGGAGAGGCAGAGACGGCAACATCTGCAGCGCCTCCGCTGACCTCTACAGTCCAGTCCGCCGCGCGGCGCCCTTCCCGCTCGCCTGCACGCAAGGGTGACCCTGGGTAAGATTGACCCTTGGTGCGCGGCTGTTCGGGGGCCCGCGGGACCGCGGGGGCCGCTACTGTCGCATCGCGCTCGGCGATCTGGGGGCCCCAACGGGCCCGCACCAATGAAGGGGCCCTGGGACACACAAACAAACAGACACACGTAACAGGGTTCCCCACATGTTCTAAGGTGCTGTCTCCCCCCACACTTCCCATGTTCTTGCACATTTTCTGGCGGAGCGACGATGAATTGTGTCTGTGTGTTTATTTTTGTTCCCCCTCCTGGAGCCAAAAGTCCCAACGTCGGAGGCTTGGAGATGGGCACCAACACCAACACGGGGGGGTGCCTCCACCTGGGGAAGATGATCCCAGATGTTGGTGTTGGCGGTAACCTTTCGGCCACCCTGGCAGCCCGAATACCGCCGCCATCACCGAGATCGGGACCGCCATCCCTCGGTGGAAGCACACCGCCGATACTGGTGCTGGTGTCAACCTCCAGGCCTGCGACAACGGGCCACACAAACAAAGAGACACAAGTAACCGGGTTCCCCACCTTTCCCCATATCTTCCGAGGTCTCGTTCCCCCCTCCCACTTCCCACATTCTCCCATCTTCTCTGGGGGATCGACGATTAACTGTGTCTGTGTAGCTTTTTTCCCCCTCCTGCCCAAAGATCCGACGTCGTGATTTTTTCAATACGGGGTCCCCAGAAGTCTCGACCCATTCCCCAGGACCGGTTTTCCATCCCGAGTCGTTTTTTGACGGTCCCGAGGCCCGGCGAGGGCCCCTAGAGGCCGAACACTGCGGAAAACCTCCGTCTTCATGTCTTCAGTGCGCTGGAGATCTCTGGGTGAACCAAAGGTCAATCTGGCGAAGGGCCACTCTGGCGCGCAGGCGGCCCCGGCCGCCCGCGCCCGCCGCGGGCCGCCGGCCACGGGCAGCGCCGGGCGCGAGAGCAAACCGAAGCCGGCAGGCCTCCCCTCGCGCGGGAGGCTCCGGCCTCGGGCTCGCGGTGGCGCCAGCGTTAAGTCGGGCGTGTCCCCCGACAGGGGGGGATGTCCGGCGAAAGATAAAAAAATACCCCCCAAATATTCCAACATGGCCAGAAGAATACTCAAAGAGGGCGATAGGGCTAGGGGGCTGTAGGGCTATAGGGCTATAGAGCTATAGGGCTACATAGAGTTGTAGGGCTATCGGACTATTGGGCTATAGGGCACCCCCGGGCACTCAAAAAATACTCAAAAAATAGTCCCCAGACTATGTTTAAAAAAACTGTGTTTGAATATTCCACCTTCGCTGCCCCGATACGCAGCACGCAACACGCATCGTATTGATACGGAGCTCAACACGCAGGCTGAAAACGTAGGTCCGACGCGATACACTCGCCAATACGTGGTCCGATACGTGGAGTCAGCACGCAACGTATTGACACGGACGTCTTGAACACGGCACGTGTTGCGTATCAGAACGGGCGTATCGAGGCAGCTAAGTAGTCCCCCAAACATATTCCAAAATACCCCCTAAAATGCCCTCCAAATCTCCCCAACATACACCAACATACCTTAAAATACCCCAAGCATGCTCCACCATACCCACACAATAGACCCCCACAATGTACCAAACATACTCCAACAATGCAATAAACAATACCCCAATCAATAAACCTCCCAAAATAGCCCCTGGACCATTTTCTCTTCCTATTCTTGAACATCGGGACTATTCCGAATATTCTTAAACATCCCCCTTGAATAACACATGCCCCACAGATGCTCCAACATGGCCAGAAGCATATCCCCCCCAAAATATACATTTACTGTTCGAGTCTTGAAGTACTTTTTGAACTATTCTTGAGCATCCCCCCTGCAGATAAAACAAGGCTAGGACCGGGATAAATCGCTCCAGAGCGTTCCGGAGCGCTCTCAGAGCGTTCCGGAACGCTCTGGAACGGCCGCGGCGCCCAATACATCCTCCAAACCCGCCGATTCTCAGAGATTTCGAGTTATCCCGATCCGATTTTGTCCCGATCTTCGCATCGTCTGAGCAGAGGCACAGGCCCAAAAGTACCCCAAGCATACTCCCAAATGGTCCAAACAATAGTCCCCATACTATTTTCTCTTACTACTCTTGTCGGGTCGGGCGAAAGGGGGGGATAGCAAAGGGGGGGCTTGAGAATCAGCTCACGTAGCTGATTTTCCCGGCGCCTCCCGGCGCCGGAGGCGGCCATGTATCGAGGAATGGGCCCCTCGGTGGGGCCGAAATCAGCTGCATGCAGCAGATTTCGTAACCCCCCCCCCTTTCCCAATCCCCCCCTTCCGCCCGACCCGATCTTGAGCATCCCCTCCCGCAGAGGCACAGGCCCGGCCTCACGCCGGGGCGAGGCCCGCCTCCTTCGGAGGGCGGGCCCCGCGGCCGCCCCGCTGCGCGCGCGGCCCGGCCGCGGC